TGTATAGCACCTCAGATTTACGAGTCATAAGTGCATACACCAGTGGAAGAATCCTAGAATTGTCTTCAGCACCAACAGGTGCGTGTATTGTGTACATTTGATGGAATATGGTAGGAACAGTCTTAAATGTTCCGTCCATAATCCAAAATAATGCATTAGCTAAGTGCTGGATATTTTCTCTTGTAGTAAATAGAAGGATTCGTTCTTGACCAACCATATAATCTTTAACTAGGAAAATATTTCCATGCAATGTATGACAAAGTGATTCTGGTATGTTTATTTCAGTAATATTTTGTGGCTGAGGTGGCATTTCTGATTTTCTAACACGGCTAATTGTTCTACGAAGAGCATTAGGTGATGGGATGTAAGGATGAATTTCTTCTGGAATACTAATAATATTATCTTGAATTATTTTTGCGGGTTTATCTCTTGTTTCAGAAGCTTGACGCTTGATCTGAGCAGTAAGTTTTGCGACTCCAGCATCACTTGCTTGAGGTGCGTGATTATGATCAGTACAACTTCGAAGATAATGCAAGTTATTACATAAGGTTGTTACAGCACGGCCTTTACACCCTTCTGATTTTCTTTTTGCACAACACCAGTAAAATATTGCCTCACGGTTCCGTTCCTTTACCATCAAATAACCTCGAACATTGATTTTATTATTTCCCTTATTTGAAGGTACAATATCACAAACCTCATCCATTATTACAAGAAGTTATATGGTTAAATTATAATGAAGAAAATTAAGGTTTATGAAAAGTGTTTTACAATGAGGAAAGTTTTTGTCTAAAACAAAGGAGACTTTATGATCAGGATTAAAAGTTAATTCTGATCAGATTAATAGTGAGATCACGCAGTAGTAATTGACATAATAACTCCTTGCAATTGTGCAATCACTACGATATTATTACATAAATGGTTACATGAAAAAATTTTTTTTTCTTAAGGAGTTATTATTGTGTCGGGATTTTGACTCATCAGTAACTTGAACTTTCGGGAATTTTGAATTCCAGATTTTGGACTATTCGGGATATAATACTTTCAGTATTTTAATCATTCAGGATATTATCTTAGTCGGGAATAGGAGTGTCAAGATTTTATTACATCGGGATTATGGTTGTCGGGATTTCAGGAGGATCCCCAATAAAAAATAATTGATATTCTATTGTCACATGATAAAAAAAAATTGCAACAATCAACATATGAAATTTAGAATAATTCGTCCAAAAAGGAATAAATCACGGGAAAAAACGTTTCACAATAAATCAAATAAAATATTTTTTCAATATATTATTTACAGTAAGTTGATAACAACAAAAATGATTGTACACTTGTATCACAATTCACGGAACGAGAGGTTTTATAATATTGAAATGATTATAAGTCACAAATGAATGAATAGAACTAATGAAAATGCAAATTTTGTATTTCTGTTAATAGATAACTTTATTAGATTTTATCACCAAGTTCTTGGAAATTTTAAAAAAAGAAAACAAGTTGAAATTATTAATTCCATCATAATATGCAATTAAAAGCAAGAGCTGTATCGAACTCTCTTTCGATTATTTTAATGAATTTTATATAATAATATTTTTGATAAATCTTCGTTTATGGTCATTCAATTGGAGTGTAGGCCAAAATCTTCATAATTCTACCCAAATATGAACGAAATCGAAGAAAGGAAAGGTTTTATCCTTTAATATAAATGGAAGGAACGTTTAATGAATAATAAGAATTTCGTGACAATAACGAAATTTTTTAATAAAAGTTTGTAAATTTGAATTTTGTTTACAAATAATGAAAGTTTGGATTCAATGTAGAAAAGGAAATTTTATAGCCTAGTTATGAAAACGAATTTATTGTATGAATTTTCGTATTTGATTTTTTTGAACAATTTTCTCTAGAAAGATTTATGTCGGATCATAAAACGCGTAATTGTCGAATCAAAATATAGGGAGATCATCGTGAGAAAAAAAATGTATTACGTAAAATGGTTTTGAAAAAAAATTCTTTTATAAATGCTTGATGATTTTTTGTAAGATTAACTTCAGATTAAAAATTCTGGACCGATTTTCTTAATTGAAATGTGCCATTCTTTTTTTTTTTTAAAAAAAAACAGTAATAGAAGCTATACATGTTGAATATGACGAACTGGCATTATGTGATACAGAAAGTCACCCTCTTTTAAATTATTTTAAACATGCATGTTTTCTTAAATGTTAGGGAAGCCTACATCGGTTATATAATTTAATTAACAATGTCCAGTATGTTATTAATATAAACTTATTATATTAGTCAACCAATTTTTCAGAGGATTACAGCATCGAATCTGAGAGAATCGGTATCGAACGAGATATTGAGGAACTGGTAAACCTGTTGGAACATGTCGAAACAGGAAGAAAGAACTGCGCCGCGGCAAGGAGAGACAAGAATGCCTTGCAGTATCACCAAGACCGTTATCAAGCCTATACAATTGCCGTCAGTTACTACAAGAACCGGTTATCTTGAAGTCAATATCTAAGCACGCAGTCACACAGGAGGATATGGATCGCCTGCCTCTGCGATCAAATAACCTTTGATTTTTTTTTTCAAATTTTCAAATTTTCGTAGAATTTTAATATTTTATTTCAAGGCAAATTTTTTATGAAAAATCCCAGTATTAATCATTTATAATTATTATTTATGTAAACGCATTATCATTTTACCATTTTTATCATTAAGCGAATTATATTACAATATTAATATAGATATATACAGTATATAATAACCGAACTAATTATAGAATACATCTGTCTTTGATTCATTATTTCCATATCATTAGTTGTGATATCTAATTTAAGATAATAAATTCCATGAAATATTTTACAAATAAAATTGGGATACTATGAAAATACACTTTAAGAGATTTTATCAGATAAGAAAACTTTATTTTTCAGAATAGGATGGGGATATGAATGTTAATGGCCGAGAAGCAACGAAGTCCAAATTTGAACGATAATGATTAATGAGTAACACTGCATATTATGAACAATATTAATTTCAAACTATATACTAAAAATTTACTAATTTTCAACGCGAAAACTGGTTATATTGATTAATTTAAGTTAAACTCTTTCATTAATCAAAGTTTTTATCGGAGTATCGGAAATCAAATTTTTTCCTAAGAAATTCCGTAATGAAATTTAAATAAGGATAATAATTATTGAAATTACTGACAAATCGTTTTTTGCGAAAATGTTGATCAGTGGTATCATCCCATCTGACTTATTTACTTGTGAAAGATTCGTGGAATAAATAATTTATTTCGTACAAATGTCAATGTAACGATAGTAACGTGTCATATTCTAAATTAGTCAATTTATTGTGACCGAACTAGGAATAATCCTAATAATTAGATTAAATTTATAAGTTTCATGTTACTTGAAATGATATTTTCATTAAAACAGATTATATTACGATTAATGTATATAATACTGTAAAATATTGGAAAAAAATTTAAAATATTTACAAAACTTATTAAATTGTAAATACGTGTTTTCAATTAAAAAACCAATCATTATTAATACTGAATCAAACTTTATTGATAATTTTTAAAGAATTTTAGAAACAGTAATCAATAATAACACTATTTTTAAAGAATTCTAGATTTATTTTAAGACAAAAATTTGAATTTACATGATTAGATATATTTTAAGACAAATATTTAAATTTACATGATTAGATATATTTTAAGACAAATATTTAAATTTACATGATTAGATACAAATATTTAAATTGAAGTGATGGACCAAAAAAATTTAAGATTATCCCCCAATCTTAAATTCACCCCCGTGTATTTCTCCATAATCAAGTCACGGGCCGTTTACTTATAACGCGCATATTGAACGGCCCGTGACTTTACTTATAACGCGCGTCTCCCCGCGTCTTCTCCCCACCGCTTTTTCTTGGGGATAATATTTTAAATATGACACGGCACGCTATATGTCGCGTGCCGTGCCCTAATTATCCACGAATTTAGTGGATGTCGTTTCATGTTGCCTTCTTGAGGACGTTTTTTGTCAGTGATTAAAGAAGGAGGTTTATAAAATGTAATGATTTTAATGATTTTGTTAATCATTGGTTTTAGTGATTTAATAATTTGATGATTTTTAATATTTTTAATATTTATTTTTGTCAATTTTATAGAAATCCATAAAGAAATTTTTTCATGGTTTATATATCTAAATTTACTTATAATTTCATGTTGTTACCAATTTAATTAATTAATATAATTACATTACCCCTTTAAATAAACCAGCGAGGGGTCATTTAGGTTTCGAATTTAAAGATTATCTTTCATTACAGGGACTATAAAGGAAATTATCAATCAAAATAGTAACGTAATAAATTTAATCATTTAAGTTACATATTTCAATATAAAATTATTATAACTGATAATCGCTAATAAAATAAAGAATTCCTTTAGTTCATCACAATCGGAATTACCGCGTTATTTTAAAAAATTATTCCAAATATAGATCACAAGAAGAATGAAGTATATATTAATTAACCGAATTCAGCAGCAATTCATCTAAATGGATTCGTGTACTTCGAAATTTATATGGTGAAACATTTATTATATTCAATAACGAAATGGACCAGTTATAGTATGAATAGTATGAATAAGCATTCAATGGATTCGTGTACTTTGAAATTCATATGGTGAAACATTTATTATATTCAATAACGAAATGGACCAGTTATAATATGAATAGTATGAATAAGCATTCAAGATTCATATTTCTAGGCCAAAAATATCATCATTAACTAAACAAAATAATATAAGTCATTCAAATATAGATAAATCAATAGGTAAATAAGTAAGTTGTAAGCTTATATCATATGTTTATCTCACAAAAATCGGAAAGTCTATTATTTCTGACAATTCCGATAATCCCAAAAATAGGTTACAGGATCGGGAATTTATTAAACAAGAAGAATTTCAAATTTCTGGACCAGTCGTATTTCCTACAGTACAGTATGGATATGCATAATCTTTTATCATTCATACAAAATTACAATCAGGATTCAGGAATTTTTCGGGACTGATCCGATATACGAGATAGATTATCTAGAATAAAATTTTAGACGAAAATACTTTCTTTATTTCGTTAAAAACTAGATTCAATTTTAAAATACAACCCATAAAAATAAATTTTGTGAACAAAAAGGAGAAATTAAATTAACCGAATGCCATCAATATTGTCCAATCATCAATCCATTTGAATGGAAGATCATATTGTATTTGTACTATCACAAAGTTTAAACTTTATTAAACAAGGTATTTCTTTCAAGTGCAACTTTCATTGGTATGAGTCTTTTATTGTTTCGGTTTAAAAATTTCAAACTTTTTTAATCAATGAAACTAAAAAGCGTCATAAAATTAGTGTTACAAATATCAATAAAATTTGTCATCTCATCAGGATTTAACTTATACGAAAATACGAAAACCCTCGTAAATACAAAGAAAATTTAAACCAATAGAATTTTATGATAAATCAGGAGTAATTCAATCGATGGGGTGTCTTAATATTACTAATAAATAATGATTTTTTTTGATTTTTTATATCTATATTAACATAAATTTTCTTAAGTTATACAGTATAATATAAAAACTTTATATATTTTTGTTCTTTAGAACATATTTTACTTATTTAAATACCA